CAGTATAGCTAAGGCTAGAATCTTTCTAGTCCTTTCCCAGTCACCTAAATACTCATCATTGTCAGATTGCTGTTTGCTTTTAGATATTTTCCTATGCATGTGTGTGTTAAAAATATACACTATATCTTAATTTAAAGTGGTATAATATTGTTAAATTAAATTAGATTTGACGTAAACCTGCCTTCATAAGCAAAGAACTGCAACCTAACTTGAGTATATTTTTCATGAGAACTTGAACCAGAGAAAAAGAAAAAAAAAAGAGTATATTCTTGTAACAAGTACCAAGACTCAGTCAAGCACATTAGCTAAGTTTCAGCCAATTGCAGTCTGCCATGGAATCAGATCATGTCCATATACAGCAAATTCAAATTGCAACTGATCAAATTGTTTTTGTATGGCACTTCCTTTTTCTGTCCTGTGAATGCTATCTGCTCACATTTGTGAGTGGAGCTCTCTGAACCTCTCCTGGTTCTGAGTGCTGTTCGATTCATGTTGCTTTTTGTGCTAATAAACTCTGCTAAATTTGTCTAAAGTTTTTATTTTAATAATATATATATGTTGTTTGCTCTCCCTGAGATGCCTTCTTTGGTCCTAGCTGACGCACCAGTGCCCCACTTTTCCTTTAAGACTGAGACCCCTCTTTTCTGTGGTGTTACCCAAGGTCATCCCATGTATCAGACATCTTTTCCTATAAGGGACAGCTTAGCATCTTTCCTCCTCCCTTGGCCCCCTTTATTATGTTACTACAGGAGGTGTTTGGATTTGAACAGACAACTTTCCTACAGTATACCCTGATCCCCTCCTCAACCGTCTTTTGTACCTTGAGGAACATTTCTAGCTATTGTATGATGATGCCCACAGTTAAATTTTGAGCTACTCTGACATCTTTTTATATGGCTGTGTTTGTTGGTAAGATGAGCTGAATTCAGCTGTCTTACGGACCATTTTTCATGTCATGTGCATAGCACTGAGAATGGGTCCCAAGGCCCCCTGGGTGTGGAAGGGTGGGGAGTAGGTGGGGTCTTACCAGATGGGAGAAACAGGGACTGAACAGTTCTCCTTATATTGTTACATACTGGGCATCTGGGTAGGATTTTGTTTGAAGAAAAGGCTGTTATCCTTTTAAAAAAATCTGAAAATCACTATCTTATTGCATTTTGCTCTTATCATTTCATAAAAACAGAAAAGTAAAATTGCTGATTCTAGTATAAGTGTAAATCTCACAAATCAAAGGTAGAATTCAAGAAGCATGTGAAAGCTAGGAATATTTAGCCTTAGCTGGGTATCCTTGGACTTAAGCTAACCTGCTGATGTTCATTATGAAGAAAATAGACCACATGTATAAAATATGTATGAAATACTGAAAACCTACATCATCAAAGATTATTTCTAAATCATGGGGTAAAATACAGGCTTTTGTAACTTTTTTAAAAAACTTTTTGGGCACAGACTGCTCCTTTAACGTGCAAGTCTGTTATTTAACTTGCACACTTGACTTCAGTCCATTTTCCAGATTGTGTCATGCATTAAAAAAGTGGAATGACTGGACAGCACTGCCTCAGACAGTAAGCTTCTGTGGTCAGAGACAGTTTCATTAATGGGAACATAATAAATATTTGTTGTGTTGATTGTAGCTCACTAAGATTAAGCTACTTGTTGATGGATAACTGTTTCCTGGTATATTCAACTCAAGAGTCTTTTTCCTACACCAGCTCTGAAGGGTGCCTCAATATGGAATCTTTGGCTCTCATGTAAATCCACTAGGACCTTTTCCTGGGCAGTGTTTGCCACTGCTGATGTTAAATCTAAACTCATTTTATTGACACCTTACCCTCAGAGTAAGAGGTTAGAGTCATGTTGCTACCTAGAATGGGAACTTCATGTTTACCTCGAGTTAATGTTGATACTCTAATCGCCAAATAATTGGAGAGTTTGTACACTTTTTAGCATGAGAAGCATATACTACTCTCATACATATTTGGTAATAATTTGGTTTTTTTTACAGGGCTCATTGATACGATTAGGGAGTCATCACAGTTTGTTTTATTTTTTATTTTAAAGATGAGGGGTAAAATTCAGGGTTAAGTATACAAATGTTCATTATATGGGTACCCTTATTGATGAGGTGTGCTCCCCCCCAGCAGAATCC